GAGTTACCACTAAAAGTAATAAATGAATATAGAATAGACAGTTGACAAAAGAGGCAAAATGGCAAACTTAAATCATAAATTTAAAGGCAGGTGCTTATGGATAAGAATTATAGCATAATATATGGTAACTTTATAGAAATAGGGAAATGGTAGATTTAGTTCAAAGATGTCAGCAGTCAGAGTTCAGTTACACAGTACCATCCTATAGTTAAAACAGTAAGATGATGGGTATCTAGAATATGTTTATGTTTGGAATGAGCTAGAATATGTTTAAATAACTCATAGAGAAAGTCTCAAATGTATGAATCATGAAGTGTTAAAGCAGACTTTAGAAAATGAAATTCATGAAAATGGTAACCAAAAGGAAATTGATGTGGATAACAATGTCACAAAAAGTCAACTTTAATGAGAGATGCTAGATGTAAAAAGGCACACTTTATAACAAAGGGTCATATGTGTTAGGAAAATGTGGCAATGTTAATGAAGCTTCAAACTGTATGAAACAAAACTTTCAATCATAAAAGGACAAACAAAATCAGATAAAGAGATTAAGAAAATCCTCAAAGATGTAAAAATGTGAAAAGCCCTGTGTAACAAACTCAAATGAATTAAATATACATGTTTATACATATTTGAAATGTATACATATAATTTTAAAACAATACTGAGCAAGTGTTAGAATATAAAGCAATTTAACAAATTTTGAAGAATTGAGATTTTTTTGAATATATACTGTCTTCACTTTGAAATTGATCTAGCATTTCATAATGAGACATTTCAAACTCCATGATAGTTGTGAAGAAAGACCCTTAAATATAATTAAAAATAAGCTGAAGAAGAAATGTTCATTTATACTAGGAAAAGTTGTGAGTTGAACAATATTAAAATACAAAATGAAAACATTGTGAGGCATAGCCAATACTTTGGCTTTAGGAGAGTTATACCTTACCCCAAATATATCAGTGAAAATGCTGTATTCAGAAGCTGCCATGGTTTCTTTTACCCCTAGGTCACACATAAAACTGTTCTATAAAAGGATGAATTCCTCCTCTTTTGCTCCTCCTTCCCTTTCTGCTTCTCCTCCTCTTCCTCCTTCTTCTTCTTACCCTCATCCTATTTCTCTTTCTCCAGAAGTCCCAAAACCTCCACCCAGTGAGTGAACAGCCAGCATACAGGATGAGTTCAACTGCCACCTAATTCTACTGACCATCTTAGGAGGACCATTAAATTGGGCCTGTCAATCCCAAGAAACATGAAAGAAAAAAACACATTTTCTTTTACCCACCTACTGTTGGGGTAGATTGTCACACATATATAGGTGAACAGAAATATAGTTTAAGAGTAAGATTAAAAGACAATAAGAGAAACAAACATAAAGAAGAAGGAAGGTAGTGACAAAGTGCAGATAATTTAGAAAACAGATGAGCAATGCCGAAAAATGAATAACACCAAGACCTTTGTTTGGAAAACACAAGTTAAGTGACAAACAGCTGGGATGGAGATGTTGAATGGACAATGAGGTGTTTGGAATGAGAATAAGCTAACACTGGTCATCAGTTGATGAGCTGTCAGGGAAGGATTTGGAGGTGTGGTCGTGTTGGAGGTGTGTCACTGGAAGTGGGATCCTAAGTTCCAAAAGCCTATACCAGGCCCAGTTTCACTTTTGGTGCCACAATTGCTGCTATGATGATAAAGGACTAAGCCTCTGAAACCATAAGCAAGTTCCCAGTTAAATGCTTTTTTTGTTGTTGTTTTTTTGAAAGAGTTGCTTGGTCATGGTGTCTCTTCATAGCAATATAACAGTAACTAAGACAGAGGTATAGAAGATGATGGAATAGATAGATAGATAGATAGATAGATAGATAGATAGACAGATAGATAGATGATAGATAGATAGATAGAAGTTAGATTATAAATGAAAGATATAAGGGAATTTGAAATAATCCTAGTAAAAATAAAGAAGAGAATTTATAAAAAACACAAACATATCACTCAATATTCCTTCTTCAAAATGAATTCTGAGAACAAGAATGAAGACCTAAGTACATGTTAGGCAGGTTGGGTATCCAAGAGTATGAAAATAATGAAAAGAACTTAATAGCACTATATTCAGAAATTTATATGAAACTGAAAGCAATTCCTTGAGTGATACAATTTACCCCAATGCATTTAGCTGTATAATCAGATACTTTTATATATAGTAAATAAATTAAGATCATGAGTCATTGCACACACAACAACATAGTGCACACATAGAGACACAATACACAAATAGCCACATGCTGCAAGTGGCATAATAAATGAACTTAAACACTGAAGTAAGAAATAGAACCAAACTATTCAGGCAATAGAAAAAAAGAAATAGTTCTACCTTGCTTTTGTTCCTATGAAAGGTGGGTACAGGAACCTGGTGTTACAAAAAAATGTGAGGAGTCTAGACGGGAAAGGAAAACATACTAGTCATATCATGAATATAACCACAGATATCATTTTAAAAGTCCTAGTTGAATCCAGAAATGTATGAAAGGGGCACAGTGTCTTGGTAAGATTTATTTCAGAAATGCAAAAATCAGTCAGGGTCATTTATCAGCTTATAGAGTTAATAAGAAAACCAAATAATTTTCTGTGTATATTCAGCGGTGGTAAAACTTTCCACTTGCTTATGAATCAAATATGTACAAAATGAGAATATTCTTAATCTGATCAGATGAATCTTCACAGACTGATTGAAATACAAATTCATTTCCACTCCTATGATGTGTATGTTAAAAATCAGCCTTTCAAGGCTTGAATGGAAACAGTTGATGACAAACATCTCTTTCGTTTGAGATTATACTCAGACCAATACATAAAAAAACCAATATTTTAAGAGTTAAACAAATTAACAAAGTATTTGAACAAACTTTTAAACAAATGTCACCTAAATGGCCAATAACATGAAAATGTATTTAATCGAATTAATAACCAGGAAAATACAAATTAAATCATAACTATATTATAAAACCTCCAGAGGACCAGAAACAGAAACAGGACATCCCAAATACTGGAAAGAATTAGTGGCATCTGGTTTGCAACACACAGCTGGAGGGAGTATAATTTAGATTAATCTCTTTGGGAGACAGCTTGGTCATAACTACTAAAGTAGAACATGTCAGACTCCTTGCCCCTGTGATTCCAGTTGAGATATATCATCCAGGGGAAGTACATGTGTAAATCCATCGAAGTCTTGCTTAAATAAGAATATTCGTGTCAACATTCTTCACAGTCATCAAAACTGAGAAAATGACCAATTGTGCTTCATCTGTGAAATGGATAAATAAACATTCTGATAAATCCATAGAATACAGTATTATACAGGAGCAAGAAGCCATGAACTACAAGTTCATGTAGCACATGGTTGTGTCTATAAATGGATGGGTAATTAAGAAGGCAGGCATAAACACACAAAAATTCACAATCCGAGTTTGTCTGGACACATTACAAACAAGTGAAGCTGATCTGTGGTGTCTCAAAGTCAAAGGACCTTCAGCTACACAGAGTGCTTCTTGAGCAATAGTCACCCTTGGTCTCACTGGAAGCTTGTGCTGCTGGTCTGTGGTGGAGCTCAGTACCAGAGCATAGCCTAGCACACATAAGCCCTCAGCTTGAATCCACACAATCTTAAAAAATGCATTTGTATACTTTATTTTTACAAAATGATAATATATACCGGAGGGTTGGATTCTTTTCTATATGTATAACACAGTTCATTGAATAGTTTAAAAATGAGCAAAGGCAGTTTCAAAGGTAGTATATCCAGGATGGATGCAGTCAAGTAAAGTCCAATAAAGACTACCTGTAGTTCACTCTGCCTGTTGCCACCTGATTCCTGAAATGACACTTACTCCATGCTCTTATAGTCACTCAGATTGGAGACACTGCTCTTCCATCTCTGTTTCTACTTGGCTTCTGCTATTCCTCACTCATCAGTCTTCCCCATTTTCTCTTCTCTTTCTTCCCCAGATCCCCCACCCTTACTTACCCTGATCCCTCATTCTCTCTCTTCCCCACTTGCTCCCTCCTAACCACATTCCTCTTACTGACCAAGAATCTATCAAGATAAATAGAAGAGTTATACTGAACATGCTGAATCTAACAGAAGTGTAATGATGCTACCAGGCAGGCCACTATCACATCTGAAAACAGGTTAGAATATGTCTCAGGTGTTAGTTGGATGGGAGGAATGCATAGATTTGAGTTTATAACTAAAGATGACTTTTAGCCATGGGTTTAGAAGTAGGCACAACCAAACCATAGCTTTGTTTAATCCCCAAACCCTGCTGGATACTATAGAACACTACTGTAATTTCTCTCCATGTTCTGGATCTCATCCTCAATTGCTGACTGATAGGAAATGTCTGTATCTGTTCTATGAACTCTCCAAATCTACAGCACTAAAAACTGCTTTTTGAACTATTTAAAAGTACTGCTTCAGATATGAAAGATTAGGGCTTGGCTATTTCTCTAGAGCACATTAGCTCTGATTAAAATGAGATGCTGAGGCTGGGGATATGATTCACTAGGTAAAGCTCTTGTTGCACAAGTTTGAGAACCTTAGGTTGAATACCCATGCACAGCTGGGCACAGCTGCACAGCTGCAATCCTGGTGTTTCTGTGCCAAGGTGTGACAGAAAAGGGAGATCTCACAAACTCACAGGCCAAGTATCATAGCATACACAAAAAAAAAGAACCTGTCTCAGGAGCCGACACCTAAGGTTGCCCTCCAAGCTCATGTGCATGTTGCTCTGTGTGCACGCTTGCAATCACATACATATCATACACATATGCACATGCACACAGACACAAAATAAATAAATTAAAACCAGAAGCTATTTTCTTTTCTCCTTTAAATCTGGAAGAAGGAGTGTCAGGTTGTTGGATCTATTTTAGGAGAGGCATTGAAGTTTCTTTCTGTGTGTTTACTTTGAAGAGACTGATTCTATACAACTATCCAATTGCAGATATAAACGAATGTGCTGTTGACAATGGTGGCTGTCACGACCAATGCTGCAATACGATTGGCAGTTATTACTGCAAATGTCAAGCTGGCCAAAAGTTGGAGGAAGATGGCAAAGGATGTGAAGGTAACAGTGAAGACTGTCTGCCTCCTGATAAGGAAACAGAGAACATCTACATAATGCAAAGACCAGGGTTGTTTTCCATCCGAGTCAGTTGAAGCACTTGTGTTAAATACGGTCAAAAGCGTATCTTCTTCTTGTGCCTAGATTATAAAATTGCAGCCCATTAGAACACTTCAAGTAGCTTATTATAGGCAGCATATGATTATATGCTGGTGTTGGTTGTGCCACGTTCTGATTATAGAATTTTGATCATTTAAATCCTGGGGTAAAGAACATTTTTGAAAGCATTTTATTTACTTCTATAGAAAAATGGTGCTTCTCATAAAAGAGTCATATGTTGCTAAAACAGAAACGTGGTGCACAAAGCTTACATGGGGACAGCATCCTTGCATCAAAAGAGCTTTTGCTCTGAGTTTAACCGTTTTCAAATTAATTCCTTTCATCTTTTATTTTTCTAATTCACCATCTTATTTACTTGACAGCCATTGAGTTCCTGTTCTCTATTAGGCATTATTCTATGCCTTAGAGATGTAAAATTAATAAGCAATAAATTCTTCCCCGAAGGAACTCATTGATTAGAGGAAAAGATGGAAATGTGTGCTCAGATCTACAAACCGATGTGCTCGGGAATTCTTAAGTGGGGTTAAATGCACTGGAAACAAAGAGACATGGGCTGTACTCTCAGTTCTTCCCCTAATTGTGTAACCTTGGAAAAGTGCCTTAATCTCTCTAGGATTGCCATCTGTAAAAGTTAGAATAACATTAGCTCCTAAAACCACCAGCAAAGTTGCTTTGAGAAATAAGACAATGCATTCAAAACACTTAGTGTAGAGGATGACACAGCCTAGGCTCAGGATAACCATGCACTGTGCTTACATTCAGTTTGCTGGCTGCTCCCCTCGGGAAGGTGAAGTGGGAAGAGAAGGCTTCCCACTCAAAGCACTGAGAAGGGGCTCTGCCTGGGAGGATCATATGTGCTACTCTTCATAGTTGTCTTTTCTGGATTTTCCCTAGCCTTTCCACTATAATTTTATAAATTTAGGCATCATTGTCTGTTGATTTGGTTGTTTAAGAGCATGACAAGTAGGAAAGTATTCTAGCTGTGATGTGGACATTGATCTTAGGAAATTTTACTCCCTGCCTCCCTGGACAGTGTTCATGAGACATATGTAAGTAAAGAGGTAAAGAGAATAAATAAAGACATTCCTAGTGAAGGTGCCCTGGACTGAGGTAATGAGTTTGGTAGGGATTGTTTTATTTGGCTCACAGTACAGGCTCAAATGATCAGTCTCCTCCACCATGACTTGATCATGCTATCACTTGGAAGTTTTAAGATAGACAGGCATGTTCAAGGAAAAGAGAACCTGTGATCTTCAGAGATAGGCTTCACTCAGGGAAGGCCTTTCTGGGAAGGTATAAATTCATGAGGCCAGGGTCTTCTCCATTCATTGATTCATCCATCCATCCATCCATCCATCCATCCATCCAATCACTTCCTTGGGATAATTTGTAACTTTGGGTGTGGCTGACAGTAGTACTCAAGTATGGATTCAACATCAGAGGTATCCACCGGTTGAATGAGAGAGACTGAATGGCCACTGATGGCAACACACACTGTGCCACTGTATGTTGCTAGTTGTGACTTTCCCCATCCTGTCAGGCAGTGACCTGTGTGTTGTCCTTTTGCAGAAGATTGTCACAATTACCAACTTCATTATTATAGAAACATTTCACATGCTCAGCCCAACTAATAGCTGATGTTAGACATAACAATTCTACCGGCATTCTCTAGCAGTTGTTAGGCTAACAGAACAGGTTAGACACTATACTTCACAGTGCACTTTCATCCATTCATCTTATATCAACCCAAATTGTCTCGTAAACACTACTTGGTGGAGTGTTTTCTCCAGCTGCATTGAACTGTGGTAGCTTTGTAGAAACTGTGTAGGACTAAAACTGCATTTGATGGGACTCAACAGGGGCATCACAGTGCTGCTTTGCCCCTTACCTGGACCCAGAAATGAGAGTAGGGATGTGGAAGGAAGCACCTTTCCCACAAAGACTGTCCTCACCTGCAGTCTCACTCCTTGGCATTTGTTGTTTTCACTTCCTGAAGTGACTGGTAGAGGTTATGCTGACCTAGCCATGCTGCTGACTCAGTTGCAGAACCTGTGTTAACTTAAACTTGTTCAAACACATAGTGTTGATGTACATACCCACCTGCCATCCCAAAGGAAGTAAGAGACAATTTATTTGGGAGCCAAACAAAAGTGACCATGACCCTGACCTGGAAACACTGATTTAACACAGCCCAAGTACCATGTTTAAATATGCTAACAGTTCCACAAGATTCTAAATTTACAGAAAAGGGAAATTAAAAATCAAGATACATTTTTAATGCATTGGTAAAAATATCAGGTAAGTAAGTCACAAAATCTGGGGAAGTCTTTGCTATAGGCCTCAGATGATACCTGATAGCATACTAAACCTTTTGTTGGTGATACCTAGGGGTCTGTTTATAGATTCCAATGGATTTACTTACTGATAAAAATGATGATAAGGTCACATAGAGAAACTAATAAATTGGGCAAAAGATGACCCAAGATAATCTGCCTTAGACTTCAAGATTCCATACCCTCCACATGGTTTAGATACTGATTGGCTCACAATAATTAAGTTAAAAGCAAGAGAAGGTTTTCCTCTGATGTCCCTCACCCTCCTGGCTCCTAAAATTCTCCCTCCCTCTCCTCAGCAGGACTCCCAAGCTCAGCCCAATATTTGGCCTTAGTTCTCTGAATCTGCTTCCATCAGTGAAGCCTTCCATAGATGAAGGCTCTCCCATGACAACAGGGTAGTCACCAATCCGATCACAGGGAATGGCCAGTTAAGGCTGTGTACCCATGCTGCCAGGAGTCTTAGCTGGGGTTATCCTTGTAGACTTGTGGAGGTTTCCCTTCTATCAGGCTTCTACTAGATTCTAACTACATAAACCCCCCTTTCCATTATCTTTCTCAGCGTTCTCCCTCTCGACCCACCCTGCAATCCAATCCCTCAAGTTCCCATACCCATCTGCCCCAATCTACCAGGAGATATCCATTTCTCTTCCCAAGGAGTTCCATGCATCCCCCTCAGCCCTCCTTGTTTCCTAGCCTCTCTGTCTGTGGATTGTAGCATGATTATCCTTTACTTTACAGTTAATATCAACTTATGGGTGAGTAAATGCCATGTTTGTCTTTCTGGGTCTGGGTTACCTCACTCAGAAAGTGATATTTTTTTTCTACTCCCATTCATTTGCCTTCAAATTTCCTGATGTCATTATTTTAAACAGCTGAGTGATACTCCATTGTGTAAATGTACTACATTTTTTTAAATCCATTCTTCTGTTGAGGGGCATTTAGGTTGTTTTCAACCTAAATGTGTTTTATGAATGTAGCTGCTATAAACATAGTTGAACAAGTGTCTTTGTGGTGTGATTGAGCATCCTTTGGGTATATGCCCAGGAGTTATTTAGCTGGGTCAATTACATATTTTCTGAGAAACTGCCATATTGCTTTTCAAAAAGGCTGTACAAGTTTTCAATCACACTACCAATGGAGGAGTGTTCTCCTTGCTCCACATCCTCTCCAGCATGAGTTGTCACTGTGTTTTTGATTTTAGCCATTTTGATGGGCATAATATAGAATCTGAGAGACATTTTGATTTCCATTTTCCTGATGGTTAAGGATGTTGCACATTATTTGTTTCTCTGCTATTTGAGATTCTTATATTAAGAATTCTCTGTTTAGGTTGTGCCCCCATTTTTAAGTTGGATTATTTGGGTTTTTGATGTCTAGTTTCTCTAGTTTTTTATATATTTTAGAGATTGGCCCTCTGTCATATGTGGTATTAGTGAATATCTTTTCCCATTTAGTAGGCTTCCATTTTATACTATTTTTTTAAACTTTTGACCTTTGCTTTATTTGTGAAAATAGTCATGTCCACATAAATGAAATGACTTTACTATAGTGCACTCATTGGCTCTGTATTTTGCCATTCTGGCATCCAGGATACCAGCTGAAATGTTTTCCCAGTCCTGGTGGGAGTCACTGAGGGTTCTTCCTTTCCAAAGTGTGGAGCAGAGGCATGTCCTTTAATCTGAGTTGCAGCAGGTGCAGGCAAGAGTTCCTCGCTGGTTTCTTTACTCAATTTATCTTTTTCATAAAAATCTTTGCTTTTTATTTTAATTTCTTCTCTGTATTTTTCATTCTTTAGTATATTCTCCATAGTAGGTGGAGTCTTTCTTGTCCTTCTAATCCATGCTTCCCGCTCTGTTGGGATGTCTCCTGCTTCATAGTCTAGATCTTTTCTGTTTGCTGCTTCTACAATTCTTTTCTCTTGAATAGTCTGTCCTCTCCAGTTCTTGTACTTGGGGATGTAGTAGTATTTGTTCCCCAGATGGTCCGTGCCCACATGTTCCCTCACCTCCTTCAACAGAGCACTCTGTGTGGAGCGCAGCACACCCTGCCACCATCCCGTGCCACCGCACAGCTCACAGTCTCTAGACTCCATTTTGTCCCATTGACAGTGTCTTTTGTCTTACACAAGATTTTCAGTTCCATGAGGTCCCATTTATTATTTGTTAATCTTAGTATCTGTGCTACTGGTGTTCTATTTATGAAGTTGTCTCCTGTGCCCACACATTCAAGGCTGTAACCAGAGAGCCTCATGGGACTGACCTAGGCCTTCTGCATATATGTGACAATTGTGTAGCTTGGTCTTTTTATGGGGCTCCTGGCAATGGAAGCAAGGTCATCCCTAGTGCTTTGGCTGGCCCTTAGGAACCTATTCCTCATGCTGGATTGCCTTGCCCAGCCTGAATACAGGGGGAGGTATTTGATCTTATGGCAGTTTGGTAGGCCATGCTTTGCTGATACCCATGGGAGGCCTGCCCCTTTCAAATACTGAGGAGGGGTGCATTGGGTGGGGGAAACAAGAAGGGAGGAGGGAGGAGAGACTATGGTCTG